AAGATACTTGCTCCCACTCAGCAACCGAATCAATGTAATCGGTAATTCTTGCCTCACTTTTGCAAACAGAACCGTTTAGATAACTATCTTCCCATTTGCTTTTGGTAGGGTCAGTTATTCGCTTAAACAGGTAATTTGAACAACCCTAATTAAGCCTAGTGCTATAAAAAGTGAAATTGCATAAAGAGAAAGGGGAAAGCTCCAATAAAGAATGTTGATTTCATTCATGCAAAAAAGGAATTATATTCACAAATATCCACACACAAAAAAGGGAGGCTAAGCTCCTAACATATTACATCAATCCCCGCCTTTCTTGGCTGGGGTATCCTAGTCATTAGTAGAGCTCCCTTCTTCACCTGAGTCTCCACATCATCCAACTTTATGGGAGAGAAGTTGAGCTCTAGAAACAATGTCATAGCTTGAGAACGAAAATCTTCAAAGCCAGCAGCCCAATAGCTCATGCCAAATTGAATAAACTCGGCTGACTTCTGAAAGATGGCCACAGTGGCAGCATCCGCTTCCTTGATTAGCTTCTGAGAGTTTTGTGAAAAAAATGGATAGCTGGTAGCGAGTTTCTTCTCTCTCTCTCTAGCCTTGCTCGTTTCTCCCTAGGACCACATTAAGCCTTCCTCGAGTCCACTCTTGGAAGCCTTCTTAATCACCAAGGAGTTTTAATATCATCCAAGTCAGCTAAAACAAGCACTTAACTTCTTTTCACTAGGGGAGAGCTTCTCCTTAACAAACAGAGTTTCCTGAAGAGTAGCCTCTAACTGGCTCTCTTCCATGTATGCTAGGCAATTTATCTCTGTCGCTAGTATAGCCATATGACACACACACAAAAAAAAAAGGTGTCAGAGCCATTAAAAACAACGGAGAAAAAAAAGTATTTTAATGTAAAACCCAGGTAAATTTAAATTTTTATGAAAATGGCAAAACAGTAAATTGCCATTGCGATACGGGTTGAAAACCCAAATTTTTTTAAAATTCGAATGACGAAACAGACCTCACCGTTGGATTCGTCTCACGAAATCTAGTTATCCAGTCAATTTTAGTTAAATTCCAAGACAATCAAATTTTTTACGTTTTACGAGGCGACGGGTGTCGTGTGACCTAAAAACAAGACATGGAATTAAATTAAAAAATAATTAAAAAAAATTCATATAAAAATATTTTAAACTTGAACCGGAACGAAATTTAATCATTTCGGGACAAAATCAAACCCAAAAATATAGGACATGTCTCGCGACGTGGGCCAAGCATTCCAAGGGATATGCTGGGTTTAGTTGAAGAGGGAAGAGAGGGAAAAAGAGAGTTTTTAACTTCTCTCTATGAACTACGGCTGCCCGTTGGTCGGAATCCTTCGGGCTAAGAATTAAAGTTCATCTACGCGACGAGGGCTACAAGCACGTACCAAAAATCGTGGATTTTACCAAAGTTTAAGAAACAAGATTTTGAAAAAATCAAAAGTTTGACCTTGATTTGTGTTCTTAAAGTTTTATACCGATGTTTTATGCTTCAAGTGGTAGGGTTCTTTCCTAACTAGGTTTATTTTCGACCTAGGGTTGTTATATGGAATGGGTAAGGTATTAGAGGTGTAATCTCTTATGTAACACTTACCTATGATAGTTGAAATGTGAAAAATAGGTAAAATCAATTCCAGCTTGAATTGAGTACGTAGAAATTACTTGATGTGATTTCTTAAGTTATGTGATAAAATTGGATATTTTATGTGATTAATTGATTTGGTGCCTTGAAGGTGTTTGATTAAAATGCCTTGAATGATTGAAGTTTGTTATTTTGATGAAATTGGAATAACATGCATGGATGATGTTGTAAATTGTAATTATATGCTTATGAAATAATTGACAATTGAAAATGTTGAATGAAATAAAATGTTGTTCATTATGTGCACATGACATATGGAACATGATGTTGAAATTGCAATTGAGATCTTAATTGCATAATGAAATAGAATGCAATTGTATATATACATTGCATATACACGGGTAGCATCACATTCGTAGACGTTTGACATGAGTGTGGGTGTGTGTGCATAGATTGATCAAATACCATTCTTAGTGAATGATGCGTGGGCTCGAGATAGTTGGACGGAAGTTTGACTGAATACACGGTTTGTATTAAAAACAAGGTCGGGGTTAGGAAGGAGGGCTAGAATATCTCTCGAGTGCAAGGCCCAGAGATTGGACACGCACTCTGTTGGTGTAGAGTCTATAAAGTGTGTCGACGTACGTAGAGTCATTGGTGGAAGTCCATTAATGTCGTGTCAGTTAGGTGCTTGTTGGTATGAGTCTATAAATATCCACCCCAAGAAAGACTCAAGATTTAAATTGGTCATTGGATGTGTAGTATCAATGACGGGGACTTGGAATACCCGAATACATACGCATGGCATTGTACATGTTAAGGGAGCTGGTAAAGACTCGAATTGAGTTGCATGTGTGAGTCTTATCTCATAACATAGCATGGCATAGAGGATCCATTATGAATTACATATTCTTGAATGGATTAATTGTTGCTTGTAAATTGCACGTAAACATTCCATATGCATCTAGGTTGGGGAGTAGCCTTTTTAGGAGATACCCTAATAAGCATGACTCATCCTTTACAGGGACAACATTTCAGGTGCGGGACATGCGCCGGTGGACGACTTTTAATCTGGCCCTTATTGTTGAAGAAAAGCCGAGTTGTGGCTTTTGAAACATGTTTTGTAAAAACTATTATGTTATTTAAATTTGGACGTGTAATATTGTAAAGGATTGTAAAGTAAACTCATATGAATTGTATTTTGTTTAAAATGGATGTTATATGAGTTTGGGTTGGTATTATAAAGGGTTGGAATGGATTGAAATTAAAAAATGATGAAAATGGGAGAAAACTGATAAGCCCTACCGGTAGAACGATGAGCTCTTCTACCAGAAAAACTTTTTCAATAGGCTTTTCCTACCGGTAGAACATTACGTTTCTGCGATAGAACATTTTCAGTAACCTTTTTCTACCAGTAGAACTTGTACATCTTCTACCAGTAGGTTTTGTTCAAATATCAAATTTTGAAATGCTTTTACTAGGCCTTTGGATCTTGGGTTCTTTTGTTCAAATGATATAAATGGACAACAAATGAGAGTAAATTGATATATATTAGACCTTGGATGGGTCATGTGATTGAATGGCATACAGGTTATGAGTTTAGGAGTGCCCAGTACAAGGTAGACTCTGCCCAAATTTTGTACTATTGTGATCCCGGTAAAGGGGATGTTGTGCATTGGTGTCGGGTTATACAACATCCACAGGTATTTTCGCGAATTGATGGGTGATCAACGGGTTGACAAAGAACCCCCGATTTTTGAGGCGTCACACTTAAGCTCAAAATTACCTTATAGAAATTGTGGGCCATCATGTTGGAGATCTTAAAAAATCCCAACTTTATCACTTCCTCAACTTCAGGACTAGAAACAAAGTCTTGAAATTTCTTCATGGCAAGCTCGAGATCATTCCACACACTCTTCAGAACACTGCATGTCTTGGCAGAATAGGGTCAAAAGCAAGAATGGCCCCCGTAGGCTCATGACCAGGAAGTTTCCGTTCTACTATCTTCTTTCTCTTCTTGATTAGAGGAATGTCGGGGGAGGATTCCACATCAAAGGAAATTACCTCGGTAAAGTTTGAAACAACTTGGGAAACATTGGAGGCAAAATAGCAACCTAACCTCAATCTCTTGGAAATTATAACTCCCTATCTAAAAAAAGCTTTATGCTTCAAGAAAAGAGGTCCTACTTTTAAGGGGCACAGCAACAACAACAATGGCAGATTGAGGCTCTGGCCCAAGCTTATACTTGAAAAGATTTGCATCGATCACCAAAAGACAGAAATCTTTGATTTTGTAGCTTTGGACCACCTTCACCCTATTCAAAAATTCATTTGGGAAGCTCACGTTGTCAACTGCAAATAAAAGAAGTCATTAATTTTCCCTCTTTTCACAAAAAGGAAATAGAATCAAGAAGACATTACAAAATTACTATAGGAAAAAGGCACAACTCCCAGTGAGAAAGAAGCATGATAGGGTTGGCCACTAGAGGTTCAAAGGGGCTGAACTCCCGGCCAGAACTAGAGACAAAGAAGAATCTATCTTTCAACTCTTTAGAAGGAATGGAGATCTTGGTCAATAGGTCAGTGCTACCAGGTCTTGAACAGAGACTCAGAGAACACCCTAACCTATTAGAACTCTCCAACTATTGGGAATAAGTTGGACAGGGGCCAATGTTCAAAAAAGGCAAGATGTGGTAAATGAAGGGATGAATCGAAAACCTAAGCCCTATGGTCAGAGCAACTTCATAAAAGGAGACCTCACCTTTGAGGTAGTCGAAAGCTCTCTCGTCATTGGTGGGGACTCTCAATTGCACAAACTCAATAATGGAGAATTGGGCGTGAATTCTTCTAGTTATAATGCAATTACTAAGTGTAAGGAGAGGGTTCAAGATCTTCTATCATCTCAAATAGTGAATGTGCTTGTTTGTTGCCTATCTTCTTCAGCATAAATGCTTATGGCAGTGGGCCCTTGGTTTTTTTTAAGCTTAACTATACATATTTTGAGTTTGATTGTAAATTTGACCTATTAGAAAGGGAATAAATAAGAGTTCATTTCTGAATGCGAAAAAAAATTTTTTTTTTTTTTGGGATCTGAAAAAGGAGAATTCAACTTCATCCCGGCTAGTGCAACGCCCTCGATAATGTCAAATTTTCTCTCACTCTAGACTCTAGAGGTCCATTTAGTGAGTACATGTTGGTTCAGAGTAAATATGAATGGTGTTAGAATCTCCCAAACTTGGTTAAAATGTGGAAAGAGTTAATTGTTTATCCTACGTCAACATCATAAAGATACAAAATTATGAATATACATCACTTCTGCTAATTACAAACGTGAAATCATAGATGAAAGAATTAAGAATATATAAGCAAGAAAGAAAAATCGTGGGAAGAAAGAAACCTCACAAAATATACTCCAGCAGAATAAAGAAGAAAAAGGCATCAAAATAAATCGAATCCAGCATGATAACTGTTACCCATCGGGAGATGCAAACCGTGCGGCAAAGGTCTTTGTCTTAGCCTTGTCACCATAAAGAGATAATCCAGCAGTATAGTCCTAGGAAGATTAGCAGAAAAAATGCTCTATCAGCATGATGTACTATTCCAAATACAAGAACTGAAGCCAATCTTTCTCATAAATAATGAATTAATTTGAGAACAATAGCTCTTCAAACACCTAACTTTAAATCTTATGATGTTAAGCATCGTGTTACAAAGTATATGTGAACATCTGTGAAACACAAAAGCATGGGATACAACCTCTAACAGAATTGAACCATGTTGGAGTATGAACTCCAGCAGAATTTGGTTAGCATACTTCATCGTGCTCTCTATCATTAACTTTCATATTCCTTAAACCAAACCCAAGTATTATTACTACTTATTACACTTGCTTTCATAAAAGGCTTTACATAAATGCACCATCCCGAGCTGCAATATTGTCAAACTTACCCAAGTACATAATTTTCACACTCTTTCATAGAATTATTTCCTATTCTTGGTTTTCTGAAGTTTTATCCTGAATCAAATTCTTTTGGATATTTGATATTTATTTTTTTTTAAATGACTCTTACTTATATTGTTGTTCAAAATCCTCAAATGTCAAACACATTTTCTCATACACTTCCATTTTCCAATTCAGCAACCAGAACCATGTTTCTTACCATCAGATTTTTATCCAAATCGGCCCTTAATCATGTAAACAATTATAATCTTCTCACGCTCTTAAGTACTTGTGAGTGTGAGTATGTGTGGCATCGAACCTATCACTAAAATACCCCTAGAGGGGGATCCTCAACCTAGATAATAAAGAGACGGGCCTATCTATTCTATTATGGCCGGCTTGTTGGAGAGAGCGGTAGCAAAGGGACTCCCCCTCATCTATAAAGGAGAGGCTGTATTGAGAGAATAGGGTCTTATCAACTCTAAGGCAGATTTCTTCAAGGTGAGTTGTGGACTCAGGCAAGGATGCCCCCTTTACAACAGCCCCTACTTGTTCATTCTTATCGCAGGCCAAAGAGTGATCTTTGAACGCTATTACGCATCATTACTCGTAGTAGAGTGTAAGGTAGGCTTGGGTATAGCAGGACTTGAGCCTGAGACCATTCCATTAAAAGCCCAATGCTCTAAATAATAAATACAAAGATAAATATCATTTGCACTTAGCCCTGAATTATTTTAACAAACCAAGACATAAAAGGTTATAAACCTCTGGTTGTTGTCGCCGGAAGCAACAGCTCTCAATGGAGCGATGATGAGTTAACTCATTTGGTGGTTCGAATTCTATGATGGTGCATTACTTCGATTGGCTAAAGTGATTGGCAACCGTGAAGACTTGTCTTTCATTTAATGCTCTTAGCCACCTTCCAACAGTAGCAAATAAAACAAAGGAGACCACATATTGCAAGCTAAACAAATCACATAAAAATATGGCAACCCAACAGAATTATTAGAACAATCGACCACAAACAAAACACCTCAGGTTCCGTAATGTCCTCGAATTGAGGAGGGACACGAATGGCGAACCCATCACCAAAGAATTGAAACCAAGACTTTGTGTTAGCAATGCCCGAGAGAAACGACTTCGCAGGAGATGTTTCAGCTGACGATATGGTAAAAGGGGATTGTATAAGTAGGGGAAGTAAACAAATTGAAGCAGTATTGAGAATGAAAGGCCGCCTGGAGGAGTTGGAGAGGGGGTTCTGTTTTAGACTATTGATGGGCTTGGATGAGTTACTGTTAGAGGTAAGCAGGGTTTTTGGTATGCGTGGACAGAGGGAGAGAAGCATGGCCATAGCCACCAGAGAGTGTAATTTTGGTTCATGGCTGATAATGGAATAGATAATGTGGTACAGAAGGTTGAAGTTTTTTATCAGCCAAAGCAAAAGAAGTTTTTTTTTTTTTTTTTTTTGTACTTTTAAAGCTCAAGATGATTGTTTTCGGTTTTTTGGTAGGGGAAATGAAATGTAGGTAGGAATAGATTCATCATTATTTAGTAATTTTTATTCTAATATTTGATATTTATTAATAAAAAGTTATTTCATGTGTTGGAATTTTGGTATGTTGTAATAAAACATTGATGTTTTGGTCCGGAAGACCAAAAAAATTAATGGTAGAGTTTTTTATCACTATCCACGATGATGTGAGCACGGGGATTATTTTATATGAATTGATGAGTACAATGCAGTTACACATGAATATCGTGTGATTCTCTAAGCCCAATCAAAATGGAGGAAGAAGAATTAGATCATTATTCTCATGCTTGCTTGTTGTGGTTTCAATTTTATTTATATTTGTGCATTACTAATTATTGGAATTTTATTTAAGTGATAATAACTTATTAATGTGTGTATCTGGTAGTATGTCGAACAATGAGATTTATTGCTATGTTTAATGACTTATGTGATCAAATTATATTGTTTTATGTGTTATTTGATAAGTTAGTGGATGTGTGGGGATAAATAATTTTTATTTGTATTTTATAGCATGCTAGGACATAACTTAAAGTGGTTACCAAAAAAAAAAAAAAAGAAATATTGTTTTTGTTTTTTATTTTTTTGAAAACACAAAAATAAAAACGTTATCAAAACGTACTCTAAGTACTCCAAGAGGGGTATAATATATCAATAATTAAAATTAAGTAATAATTAAAATAAAAATTAACTATNAAAAGAAATATTGTTTTTGTTTTTTATTTTTTTGAAAACACAAAAATAAAAACGTTACCAAAACGTACTCTAAGTACTCCAAGAGGGGTATAATATATCAATAATTAAAATTAAGTAATAATTAAAATAAAAATTAACTATTTAATATATAACTTATTGTCTAATTTAATTATAAATATAAAATAATTTCTATTTATAAATTATTATTTAAATATGTTCACGTGCAACTTACACTGTATATTTCTAATATTTATAAAAGAGCACAAAACACATAATGTGCAATACCCTCTTATTTAAATTGACCATCATTATCCTTCTATGTTTGGTACATCGTAATTATTTTACATGAAAACTGAATGAAGATGAGAATGAAATGAAGGTGGGAATTGAATGGAATGCACGTTAACATTTTAATGTTTGATAACAACTAAGATTAAGTTATGGAATAAAATTGAAAATTCACTTAAATATTTGCATAATCCCTAGACTCGAACCCATGAATCGAAAATAGTCCCTAGACATGACCCGACCCTAACCTTGACTTCGTACCTCGGACTCAAACCCCAAATCATACCCAAAAACTAACCCCAAGTTGTGGTGGTGGGGTGGTCGTGGTAGCAACTATGAGTGATGGTAGTTGAGAATGAAAAATATCAACAAATATTAAGGAATTACAAATACTACACTAATGATATTAGGCATTCCATGGTAATGAAAATGAACTTTATTAGTACATATCAAATATTGGAATGAGAATTACATTTTTACAACTAAAACTCATGTTCTATTATGTTATTTAATGAAATAAAATTAAAAATAAAAATCTATGCAGTTAAATTGAGCTTATCCATTATATTTAGAATCCTATTTAAATTATAACTCTTGATAGGATGGGTTGGACTTGAACTTAATGAACTTTTCACATTGGGTCAATTTTTCTATCGTCAAGTACGAACATATGAAATAAGTCTAATCAACACATTTGCTTATTTCATTTTATCATTCATTGACATAAAAATCAAATAAAATCCCAATTTTTTAAGGAAAAAATAGTAATTAATATAGATATATCAAATAATTCAATTTCAAAACTCATATATATACAATTGTACTATCTATTAGAATAAAAATTAAAAAATGGGTCAACCCAACTATGTAGAAAACAAAGTCTGAGCTTTAGGTCCCAAGTTTTTAGAATGCTCTATAATTTTAGGTACATTACAAACTCACAAAAAAAAAATAATAATAAATCCATAAACTTTTAATAGATAATTGTGAAGGGGTACACCAAGTAATACCTATTGGCCTTAAAGTGCATAGCTTATAATTTTGAGTCTTTTAATCATCACCTTCCTAACTTTATTATATCCCGGTACACATTTTGACTTTTTTAGATTTTCTTTGACGTATTTATCCTCCCCTTAAATCATGCATATTATATTTGACAATAAATTTATTTTTTGAACTTGTTATATTATACTAAATATTTCTTAATTTTATGGATGAATTATATTCTTGGAAGATTTGTCATCTAATGTTTATTTTTATATCATCATCCATTTTGAATTTTGAATTATATTCTCAACATCTTTGCCTTCAAATGTGTCTTTTTTCTTCTTTTCCAACCATCAACCATTATCGTTCTTCTTCTTCTTCTCCTTCTCCAACTTGTTTTCGTTTTTCTTTCTTCTTCTCCAACCAATTAACGTTAAATGATGGTCCTTATTCTTCTCCAATCAGTTTTTGTTTTTTTTTCTTCTTGTGCAATGTTCAACCATAAATAGGTTCAAAATTATAATTTCAGTCATTTTTTTCTTTTGTTTAGTTCTATATCTTCGGTTCAACTGATTGTTTGAGTGTTCACATTTTTTTTTCTCTTTTTTCAATCAAACTATTGTTAGACCAAGTTAGTTTTTTCCATAATAGATCATTTCTCCATATTTTTGGTATTGTACCGTTACACTATAATTTTCAATCATATTATTATAACCTCATAATTTATTCACCCCTTCATGTTTGTGGCTCTATATTTTTAGTACATGTAATTGTGTGTATGATCATTTTTTTTGTTCAGTTTTATGACTATAACACAATTTTTTTTTATTTTCTTAATTCTGATTGTATCAACACATGAACCAATGTTGTCACACTATGTTGTTACACTATTAAATCAAAGGAATGTGCGTGTTTGTAATCATAGTTGTCAAACTCTAAAATAATGATGTCATACTTTTTTGACACTCTATTAAAACAAAGGAATATGTGTGTGACTGTCATGTTCAAACAACTTAGCCAATGGTGTCACACTTTGTTGTCATAGTATTACACCAAATGAACGTGTGTGTAATCATAGTGTCTAAGACACTGCACCAATGATGTATTTCCATCTGGGAAAATTTACCAAAACCCCTTTGTCACACTAAATATATAATAAAGTAGATGGAGTTTTGAATTCCGAAGATAAAGAGCGGTTGAAATCGTTTTAAGACAAAATAAAAACATATCTGAAGGACGACAATAGCCTAACATAAAAGACGGTTCAAATCATCTCAAGATTATTAATCTGATGAACTAGAATGAGTTCTGAAATCTTTTTTCCCGCCTAAAAATTTTCCATCTTACTTATCGTAAATCACGCTTAACATCACTAATCTTTCTCTCTATGTCACAAATCTTCTTGCTCTCCCAGGATTTGTTTTCCATACTCAATTTCCTCTCCCACTCACTGTCTCTTACGCCATGGAAATCAGCCTAATCTTCCCCTCTGTCTCTCAACTATCTCTCTTTCATAGATCGACTCCCTCTCTCCCAATATCTATTTTCCAAATTAAAACCTCAATTTCCTCTCTCTGTTACCCAACTCTCTCTCATGCCTCTCTCTATCTCTTGCCCTAATATCTTTATGCCCTCTTCTACGAAGCTGCCTTGTCCAACTGCATTCCGCCTTCAACAATCGCATCTCTTTCGTCTCTATGCCGTTGGACAGGCATTGCCAATGACAGCCAGCAACTACCCAACCATCATTTCAAGTATCTCTTAATCATCTTATCTCCCTTTTTTCTCTTTCTCTCTGTCACCCAAAAGCTCCCCTTGATTGTAAGAATAAAATAAAGTTTAATAAAACTTCTTAATTTTCTCATAAACATCTATCAATTTAAATACTGGGATTTATTGACTTTCAATTACATCAAGGTGTTTATTTTCAATTCAATATGTATATATACCAACATGCCAATAGACAATCATTGTACAAAACTTTAATGGCTTTAAAGGAGCAGTAACAGGGTATATTTAATTGACTAAATCATTGGTTATAAAAAGAGATACAGTGAGATGAGATTCATCCATCAACTTTTATTCTCTCTATCCCAAACGTCTTTTGCTATTCCATTGATCTCCTTATTCTGCCTTGGTAGTTCTTCTTGTTATTAAAGCTTCTTTTTCCCGAAAAAAATTTGCCAAAAAAGCTTTTTGCCGACTATTCTTTATGACTCATTCCTATTGTTTACTTATAGCCATACCAAATTTAGTATTATTTTATTATTGTTTTAGGCAACTCGATTAATGTCAGGTTCACCCCTACCTTGCAAACCCTCACATGTTTAAACTATCAACAATCGTCCAATTGACTTTGTTTTGCATTTAACGTCTTTATTTACATCCTAAATCAAAATATAAGAATAATAAGTATATTTAGGCTCCAAACAAGTATAGAAGAATCAAGTAGTCTGGCAGACTACCTTTCACCAATTTGATCATAACTCTTTGTTGAAAATCTCAAATTGTGCACCGTTATTTTTATTAAAACCCTAACTCGTATATCTTTCCAACCATATAGGTCACACATACTAGAACTACCTGAGTCAAATCAGTTTATTCTCCGAAGTTGATAAAAAAATATGCACTATAATGTTTCTTGGATAGTAAAATGTTGTGCTTTCTTCTTAAACTTGGAAGGTGTAAACCCTCACATGTTTATATTAATATAGTAATGTACTTGTTTAGTGATTTTTATATATGTATGACGTAAGAATAAATCATATATATTGAAACCATAAGAATAAATACTAAAGAGGAATAANATATGTATGACGTAAGAATAAATCATATATATTGAAACCATAAGAATAAATACTAAAAAGGAATAAAATAATAAT